TGCTTTTAACAGAAAAGTTTTCCGTTAAAAGCATTTTCGGAGAAGAGCATCTAGATTGGCATAGACGCTTTTCCGCAAAAGCACTTTTTGCGGAAAAGTGTCTGTGGCCAATCTAGACGTGCTTTTGCGCAAAACAAATCTCAGCTGTCTACACTGGCCCTTTTGTGCAAAAGGGATTTTTGCCCAAATGGGAGCAGCATAGTATTTCCGCAAAAAGCACTGATTTCTGACAGGAAGTCAGTGCTTTTGCCAAAATTCAAGCGGCCAGTGTAGACAGCTGGCAAGTTTTTTCTGGAAAAGCAGCTGATTTTCCGGAAAAACTGGCCAGTCTAGACACAGCCACTATCTACAAGATCTAGAGGCAACTGTAGTCGCTGCCTTCCCAGCAGCACAGGGACTGCTCCTTTTCTTCATTTTTTGAAATTCACAACACCCCAAAATGGGTAGGAAGGGCACAGATTCTTAGCACTTGCCTCATTTTGGATGCAGTGATGAATTTGGGGTTGAGTGTATTTTCAGAGGCTCCTGCTCAAAGCTATGCTTGATAGATGATATCTAATACTCAATAACTATAATACCATAGTGTGTGTTTAGTCTAAGAAGGGTAAATGCTGAGCATCGAATGGTGCCCACTTCCCTAGAGATGGGGCTTCCCTTTAAGTAGGTGCAGCCCCATGAGCAGGGCCGGCTCACATTTTGGCACCTGGGGAGCTCAATGACACCCCCATGCCCCCTCACTTGGGCCAAAACTTTGAAAGGTCTCTTGTGCCCTCCTTTCTCCAGCACAGCACTCCACCATCTCTGTGCATCTAGTGCAGAGAGAATACATGTGCACCAGCAGCACACAATTTTCTACACTCTGGGTCCTAGTGCCACCCTTCACCCCCCACAGTCTGGCACCTGAGGCAGCCGCCTCAGTTCACCTCATGGTAGGGCCAGCCCTGCCCACGAGAGTGTCTGTGAATCTTGTGAGTACATGCAAACCTGCAAAAGACTGTGTTGGCTACCATATTATGGTGAAATCTTGGGTTTCCATATCTGGGTGACGCCTGTGTTTTGAGGAATTTGTGTTGTGATGTGAAAATCTTGTTTTCATGTGAGACGGTTGAGAGAGCTTTTTCTCTCTTTGGGAATGCTGCTCCTAAGCCCCCGGGTAGGCTGAAACCCACCATTCAGGCAAAGCTTGAGTGCCTATCTGAAGTGTGGACAATGGCTGTTTTGGTGTGTGGCAACTTTCAAGGTTTCAAAATTTTAGTTTCATTCTAGTGCAGACATTTTGCAAAAGGGAATCCTGTCAAATGTCTGTTTTCAGATCAAAGCCTCATTCTTCTTGATCTGAAAAGCTTTTTTGGATCCCATCCATCCATCTTAAACAAAAGACAGAATTATGTAGCACTTTAAAGACTAACAAGATGGTTTATTAGGTGATGAGCTTTCGTGGGCCAGACCCACTTCCTCAGATCAATATGTGGAAGAAAATTGGCACAACCGTATATACCAAAGAGATACAATCAAAAAAATGAACGCATGTGAAATTGACAAATCAAATTTTAGAAAGCTCATCACCTAATAAACCATCTTGTTAGTCTTTAAAGTGCTACATAGTCTGGTCTAGCTGAAACAAAAGACAGAACTAACACGGCTGCATCTCTATCACTATCCATCCATCTTGTCTGACTCTCACTGTGTAGCTTAATGGATAAGACAGTCGCAAGGGATGTCTGAGTCAGGGCAACCTAGGATGAAAATTTCTGCTCTGGATCAGGTGGAGCAGAGCCTGGGCCATTCCCCATATCCCAGGAAGGATGTTTCTGCAAAATGTTGAGGCTTTGAGATTTCATCAAATATGTTCTTACCAACTCTGTATGCAGCGTAGTTGTAGCTGTATTGGTGCCAGGATATTAAAGAGACAACACAGGCAATGTAATTACTTTTATTGGACCAACTTCTCTTTGGTGAAAGACAAAGCTTTTGAGCCATAAAGCTTTTCTTTCTCCAGAACGACCTCAGACAGTTTTTTGGGAAAATCTCAAATCAGCTCTAGTACTGCCTATGTGGACCACTGACCTCATCCAGTGTGGCAATGCCCATGTCTCTGTGGGGAAAGAATGGCTTTAAAGCAGCCTTACACCTGAATTTCCTTTTTTCTTTCGCTAATGTTGATAGCACTGGTTTTTATACATTAAAGATGAATGACATACATGGGATTTGACTACATATGGGAAAGGAAGATTTTTTTAAAATAAATCTCCAGGCTGGGCTGGAAATAAAAACCTTCCAAGCTACTATAGACTGTTTGCAAACATTACAGCAAATTTTATTACAGGGATTATTTTACATTACACTCACTTATTAAACCCTAAGACACCTTTATAAAAACTACTGTATAGAAAGACAAAAGCAGTGCAATAGCAGTGTCAAACACGCTTTTGTGTCTTCCTGCCTATCGTTTCAGAAGGAGCACATGGCTCATTATATGAAGCCAGAGTATATAACAAACAATAAGACAGGAGTAGATCCAAAACTAGATTAGTAAATTATGGGACACTCACACATATTGAATTTCAACATCCATTGGCAGGTAATTGATGATATTTTCAATGTTTCAACAAAAACGAGGAAAACACTGTAACCCTAAAATTTGACTGTAGACTACTCAAATGTGGTGGTGTAGTGTCTATTACTGTTAGCATTGTACTATTGTGAAAAAAATTGGAGGTTTATAAAATAGGGTTTGCAAGGCTTATAAAGCAGTTACTCTGGGTAATTATTTTTGAGTTATTCTGACCTCCGTGCATCAGCTAGGTTGTTGAATAGAACTGAATAATTGTCTTCAAAATCTGTTTGAAGTGTACTTTTAATATGCCACTTACTTAACCTCATAATTTTCTTTATATGGAGACACTTCAAAAATTACAGCCATGGTAAAAACTTAATTATTTAGAACAGCCACTACAGTAAACGTAAGTACACTTTTGAGATCAACAGGCCAAACTGTTGGACTCCTATTTCTTTAGTGAAATCAGTACCAAGTATAAAGGATGAATAAATGTGACACAATGCCTTCACATCTTTTTAACCAATTTCCTTTGTCCTATTTTATACAATAGTATTTACTTATTAGGAAGTCAGACACACATCATTTTAATAAAACATAAAACGACTGAGAATTTGTAACACAAGTTAGAGATAAGGAATAAAGCTGCAGAGTATGAACAACTTAATACACATTAAAAAGGACAAAAGTCCCTTTTCAACGGGTTAGGATGAGACTAATGACTTTCATAATAAGGTGATTGTGTCCCATGTTAGTACATAGGAAAAGACATAAACAAAAGACTTTTTTTGTTTACAAATAGCCAGCACTTTTTTGATCTGATCCTTATAGTGCTGAGTGAATCAAGCTTTTAAGGTAAAAGCAAATACAGAATTTGGTGTAATTTATTTACTTTTTGCTGTAATCATTCTACACAAGCAAAATGTAGAAAATTGTTTAAGTACAGCCTTATTTAATGGCTGATGTGGTGTTTACTTAATAATTGCTTTCTGAAAACTTCAGATGGAGATGATGTGTGAGGGTAAATTTACTTTTATACCAAGTGGCTTTTGTTTTGTTAAAGGCCCAACTAATATTAGTTTTAATCAAGATCCAATGTTCAAGAACAATATATAGGATATATTTTTAACTGACAATAAATGAACAGTTGCTCCTGTGTTTTGATGGATTTATCCACACATGTAGGTAATATGGAAAATTTAGCCAGTGAGTATCTACCTAATATCAATCTGTTCTGTATAGAGATTTAAAAAAGCACACCAATTACAATGTATACATGTACTAGAAAGAAAGCATAAAACTGCTCATTGATAACACACAATTCCCAAGGGGAAAAAACCTTTACAAAATACAGTAAGTCACACAAACCAGTATCTAATACAAATTTCTTCATGAACACACGCTTTTTACAAAGATCTCTATGGTGGCAATAACTTCACAATAAAAATAGGCAATTTTTAAACACTTAAGAGTTTGCTTTTCTTGTTTTTGAAGGAGACTATGTATGGGAAATAATTTTGTTGATTATAAAGTTGAGTTGCAGAAAATATTCCATTATTTTAATGGATGATATTTTCTGTGGCACTGATTCTTACAATGATGTACATCTGGAGTTATTCCAGTGAAGTCAATAGAGTTATAATTCATGTGAAATTAAGCTCAAAATCAGAATGTAGCCCAGATAATCTATTTTCTGTTATGCAGAGTTAAAATCAGTCAGCTGAAGTTTGGAAATAGCTATTGGTATCTGACCCATCATTTTAATATTATTAAAGTTGAGACCAAAATGGACAAAACTCCAGACCTTAATTTTCAAGGGACACCAGCAATCTTCTAAGGCTCGCTCACTCTTAAGTCCATTTGCCAGCTTTTGTGGGTTTTTTACCATCACATTCTTCTGTTCTTAGGTGTCTTCACTGTCTCACTCTCATTGGAGCATGAAAGAGCTACACAAATTAAAGGGCAAATTGACTATACAAGAGAAACAGAAACTGACTCCACATGAAAGGCCTGGCCAAAACTAAAAAGTTAGGTTGACCTCACTATGTCACTCAGGGGTCTGAAAAAATCCACACCTCTGAGCAATGTAGTTAAGCTGTCCTAACCCACAATGTAGACAATGCTAGGTCCACAGAAGAATTTTTCCCTCACTTAGCTACTGCCTCTCAGGAAAAGAGTTTAAGGGTACGTCTAGACTACCGCGTTTTGTCGACGGAAGTTTTGTCGACAGATGCTGTCGACAAAACTTCCGTCGACAATTTGCGTCCAGACACATGGAGTTCTGTCGACAAAGCAAGCCGCTTTGTCGACAGAACTCCGTAGTCTGGATGCAGTGTTACAGGCAGTGTCGACAGAAAGTGTTATGCCTCGTAAAATGAGGTATACCAGCGTCAACAAAACCGCGGAGTTCTGTCGACGTTATGTCGACAGAACTCCGCGGTAGTGTAGACGCTGGTATTGTTTTGTCGACAAAAGTCCACTTTTGTCGACAAAACTAGGTAGTCTAGACACACCCTAACCCTTGCTGATGGGAGAACCGCTCCTGTCGGCACAGGCAGTCTCTGTTCTGAAGCACTACAGCAGCACAGCTGCTATGCAGGAGTAGCATTTCAAGTTTAGAGAAGCCCAAAGGGCAGTCCAATCTGTCAAGTAAACAAACTGGAAAAAACAGCAAAATAACTTTTCTCCAATCTTTCATTTATAGTAAGCACAAATGCCACCTGCAGTAATACAGTAGATAGAAGTCAAACTGCTCTGTAATTTTTTAAGTTGACTTAAGTCTGACATGACATCCTTAATTCAGCCTGTTGTGCCGAGGGTAGGCATCCATGAGCAGAGTGAGCTAATCTAAGAACCTGTAATTCTCAGGCTAGCAGGTCTGATCTTTGGAACTGGTAGGCGCCTCCATTGCTCTTCCTGTTTGGGAACGATTTGTTACAAACTTCTGTAGATTTGATCCAGTGGTCACTTGCATGTTTGTGTCAGCTCCATAAGCAGTGGCAACGCTGTGTTACTGCTGTGATGGTAGGGAGGGGAATAAGTAGCAAAGAACTTGTGCAAGGACACTGTGTGGGATAGATATAAGCTCAGGGGGGGTCTTTGCAAGGAAAGACAGATAGGAAAAAATAGGCATGTTGCCCACAGAGAAATGGCCAGGAACAGTGTTCCTTCTGGCTCCATAATTTTCCTGGCCCTTACTAACAAGTTGGGAATGTGGAGTCCATCTCACTGTGTGCGTGTTCTCCCTCTGTTCCAGGCAAACACAGCAGAAAGTACTGTTTTTGCAAAAATCCCCAATGCTGTATTTGTTCCAGTATCTGAAAACTATCTCTAGTATCCCTTTGATGGAGCTCTCTAATTGTCCCAGTTTCAACTAAAGTGCTTTGAATGGTGCTGCTACATTCTTTTGAAATGCTGTTTTTAGGAAACTAAAAGCTCCGTGACTTAAAGCGAATTAAAATTTTTTTAAACCTTGACTCCCTTTACTTGGAGTGCTACGTTTCCCACCATGTACGATATCCTAATGGGTTGAGTATGGCTCTACAAATGGAATCGTGCAGGGAAGAGAGGGGCAGCCGAGTACCATTCAAAGGCATGCTGTGTGGAGCAGGAGCACGTCTAGTGCCTGGAAGGATGCTGATGGGGGAAGCATGTTTCCTGTGTCCCTTGTATGCCTTTTGATTAGATACAGTATTCCCTTCCCCGAGTCAGGCTTTGCATGACTGGTTAGTGTGCAAAGAGGTGAGACATGGGCATGCCCCCATCCTACTCAGGCAGGCCTTCTTTGAGAACTGGACTGGCTGGCTTCTGGTTTCTAGCATGGCCTTTCTGTGCCTTTGCCCTATCTAATGGGCCATCATAATTTAGCTCAAAGTGTCCAGTGATAATGGAGCCATTAATAGTTCAGTATTAAAAAGATGAATGCCCCCCAACTCAGAGATGCTTTAGCAGAAGACTGCAAGTCACTCGGCAGATGTGGAAAGTGTTCCTGACATTTGAGGCACTCAGATCCTTTGGTGTTGATCAAATTAACATGCTGAATTAGTTTGGCACTGCTGAGGCTGTGTTGAGTACTGTGATTAGAGGGATTCCTCTGTTTGGTAGTCACCAGGTGCTCTGTATAAAACCAAGTCTTGCTGCATGACTTAATGCCACAAGAATGGTGGATATCATACAAGAGGGGCCTAACCGTGGCTCACGAACCACATGCAGTAATTTATTTTTTTTATACAGTGGGTGCCACTTGCAAGGCTCTCCCTCTCCTGCTCTTTACCTAACTGTGAGGGAGGAGCTTAGAGCTCCTGCCCTGTGGTGCTAAGGCTCGGGGCTTCTACCCTGCAGGAGGGGGAATCTCCTCAGTAAATATTGCTGCAGTTTGTCTTTCTCCATAGACACAGAGAAGCTGAAGCCCTGAGGCCTGGCATGTATGTCCAGCTCTTGAACTTCAGAAAATTGTGTATAGTGAGGAGGCCAGTAAGTTTAGTCCCCCCTGATATAAAATATGTCTTCAAGTTAAATCCCTACCATTAAATCCGTACCATAAAATATAATCAGACTATTGCAATATATGGTGACTGAGTAGCCCATTGCTGTTCTGGCTTGCAAAGCAATCCTCCCATTCTTCATGGAAATAATGACACTAATCAATTTGCTGAATAACTGTCACCTGGAGGGAATTGGATTATTGCCGTGTAAAACATAGGGGTAGTGGTATTATTGCTATTTTAAGCTGAGGGATATTCCTTATTTCCTATAAGGTTGAGGAAGTGGGGAGTGTATGTTGTCTTAAAAAAATTTTGTACCCTCTTCTGGAGGGCACGTTCAGTTGAGGCCACTTTTTTGTTGTGCTCAAGGAATTTGTCATGCCAGTCTCATTGCTGCGACATGAGCCGAATTGGGGAATGAAATGACTACTACTCTGCACTTTGTTTGAGGAGTCCCTTTTTCATTGTAAGGGGCAGTGTTGAGGGAACAGTGACTGGAAATGGCCGCATCTATGCTTATTGTGACAATGTTCACCAGAGAACTTTGGAAAAAACTCACATTCATTATTCTGACACAGATTAGGCTCAAATGGCAATTGATGGATAGGGAGGCAAAGAAAGTTGATCTTCCAAAGGTTTCTCTTGGTGTCCTTGTCCCCCTTGGCATGGATCTTACAAGAGCAACTTGCACTTTGCTGTCTTGAGCTTTCCATTATATGAAGTCTCCTTTGAACATAACAATCTTGACCTAGAAGGAAAATATTGCTTACAGACAGTTTGCTGAACTCTTGTCAACATTGTTTTTGTACGTTGGTAAGAGGTGATTCTTGTCAGATGTCTTGACCAAGTATCCATCTTGCAGTGTCATCTTGGCTTGTCATTCTCTCAGATAGTTCGCTCTCTAAAGCTGCTCACTGCATTCTAAACTTACCTCTCCCATCCTGAGGCACATCATTATAGTTTTCTGAAAAACATACAAATGTTTGCTTATAAGTGTCAGGAAGACAATGTCTGTGTAACTGTGAATTTTTATTAGCTCATTATCTTTTAAAAACCATCCCTTTTTAAGTAGAGTTGAGCAAATAATTTTAGTTTGGTGGCTAAAAAATCTGGGGCAGGGGTATTTTGTTTTGAACCAAAACTAAAATGAAAATCTGACGATGAAATTTAAAGCTGAGTCAAAATGACATTTTCAAAACTATTTGTGATTAGCTCAGGTGCCCTAGAAATAAACTGTTCAATAAATTTACTACTTGCAAATACTTAAGCATATGCTTAACCCCTACATTTAAGTAGCCCTATTGGTGACAGTTTGACTAGTTTAAGCTGTGCAAGAGCATGTTTGATTGGAATCTAAAACAAAGAATAGTTTCCTTTCCAGATTTATCCTACTCCATTGCCCTTCCAATTGCCAGATGCCAATTTTCAATGCTGATTTGCCCACGAACATGGCAGGGGGACAGTGGCCACCTTTAACCAACATGACATTTGTCTTGAAAAAGAAAGAAAAACATGTAGAGTGAATTACTAGCAGGGTGAATTAAAAAAATCAATTTTAAGTGGTAAAATTTGGTAGCAAATGTTAAAGAACATCAAATCTCATGACTGGAGGAACTCAGTGGCCAGCAAATCAGGAACCAGGGTTTGAAGCTGTAAACTAGCTTTTGACTGAGGTATCCTCTTCTGTAGATGCAGAGAGAACATTTTCTTCACTTCAGTTTACTAAACTAGTTCAGTTCAAAGACTACTTCATTCAAACTTAAGAAATCAATTGGGAATTGCAAAAGCAGGAAAGCTTGAGCTCTTCTCCCAGTGTGTGAGAGAAAAGCTTAGGTGTAAAAGCATGAGATCCATTAGATTTAAAATCTTACCATGATACTGATATAAATAATCCAGTTTAGTTTACTAACTATGGATAATACTGCTTTAAAACACTTGACTTTTAAATGCTAAACATATTTTGATAAACGTTTTTCTTTGTCCAGAACACTTAGGGTAGGTTTATTTAGTTTTTAAAAAGTAAAATGTTGTTTTGGACTTGGATGTCAATTCAAACATAGCTCAACACAGATCATAAGTAAAAGATTTGCCATCTAGTAAGTAGAAAAGACAGAATGCTGCATTTCTAAATAATAAAAATGTAAAACGAATGTAAATCAAGCTATAGAATTGATTAAATATGTGTATAGATGCATAGTTATCTCCCAGTTTAGCTAAAAGATGCACCAAACTTGTGTAAAGGTTCTATTTTACTTGTGAATCCATGTTTTAATAGTTACTAACCAATGAGGCCTACATAGCTGGATAGACCAGTAGTGAGTGTGCCAATACCAGAGATGATGGGGTGTCCGGGGTGTCCAGGTTTATGGATCTTGGGAAGCAGATAGAAAAATGCTACCAAGCATTTATAAACCTCAAGTACTCACTCGGAGAAATAAAAAAGCAAATTGAAAGAGCCAAACGAATACCTAGAAACCATCTACTACAAGACAGACCCAAGAAAACCAACAATAGAACACCACTTGTCATCACCTACAGCTTCCAACTCAAACTTGTCCAACACATTATCAATACATTACAGCCTATACTGGAACAGGACACTAAACTCCAAGAAGCTCTGGAAGACAGACCTATAGTCTCCTATAGACAGCCACCTAACCTCAAGATGATTCTTACCAACAACCACAGAACATACCACACTAATTCCAACCCTGGTACTTTCCCTTGCAACAAACCCCGTTGCCAGCTTTGTCCACATATTCACTCTGCTGACACCATTATTGGGCCTAACCAAGTGAGTTATAAGATCAAGAATACATATTCCTGCGCATCCAGAAATATAATCTATGCTATCATGTGCCGAAAGTGTCCGTCTGCTATGTACATTGGACAAACGTCTCAGACACTTCGCCAAAGAATCAATGCCCACAAAACAGACATTAGACAGGATCACAAAGAAAAAACAGTTGCTTGCCATTTCAACCAGAAAGGACACCTGTCTCAATGACCTACTCACCTGCATCCTACTTCAGAAGACATTCAAATCTGCACTTGAAAGGGAATCCTCTGAACTGGCATTCATGCTAAAATTCGACACTCTCCGCAGGGG